CTGCGTTCGGGAGCAGCTGGGGTGGGCGGCGCCTGACCCCAGAGCAGGAGCTGCAAGGTTTGTGCCCCGAGTGACTTCCCGGCCAGGGAGCTAACCAGCTGCCATGACGGGGTACACCCTGGGAGAGCGGTAAGTGCCATTAGGTTCACAGCTTCTCTCCAGTCCCTAGAACAGGTCCTGGCCCAGGACAGCCACCTGACAGGCGTGGATCAACAAGTGGGCTGACAGAAACTGACAAGGTGCACAGGCTGCCCCGGGTGGGGCTTCGTCCATCGGGGTGCTCTGGAAGGGGTCCCCAGAGGTGATGCTGAAAGGAGCCATGAAGTGCTGGGTGAAGTCAGGGCAGGACAGCAGAGGCCACGTGTGGGCTGCAGAGGTTTGGGCACTCCCTCGGGCCAGGCAGGAAACGTGCCAGACTGAGCAGCATGGCAAAGTGGCGGGGCAGCTTAAGCGAGCCACGTGGTGAGCCACGTGGTGCTCGAGCCTGCGCTGTGAACAGCCCCAGCCCAGGGGGAGGGACCGTGGCAGAGGAGCCAGGTCCTGGCAGAAAGTGAAGAAGGCCTGCAGGAGTGGGGCGAGAAGAGGCAGGGGAAGGGCCCTGGGAAGGGAGGGACCCTCCAGGGCACCAGAGTTTCCATGTGGGTATTCAGGAGCAGGTGAAGGGGGACACAGGAGGGGCAGCCAGGGGTCACCCAGTCACTCCTACATTCATTGGGTGCAGCCACTGCCTGCTTGGGGTCTGCTGCTGCTGCGCGAGGCCACATGGAGACGCAGTCCCCCACGGCCACCAGCTGAGGGACAGTGAAGTCTCAGTGCGAGCAGGGCACTCGGCCAGCTCCTGTGGTAGGTGGGCAGGTGGGAGGAACCTGCTAGGGGGCCACCAGGCAAGGCAGGGAGCGGAGCAGACCGGAGGCCGGGAGGGAGCAGAGAGCGCCGAGGGCGGCCAGAGAACGAGGCCCTGCAGCAGAGCGCAGAGAGCCCTGAAGCCACCAGGGCCACGAAAGGAAGGTAGGCCTGGGCGTGGCCAGTGAGATGGACACTTTGGTGACTCACAGGGTGACGGGAGGGGACGAGACAGGACAGGGAGCCTGTCAGGAGCGTGAGCCAGGCCCGAGCCAGGAAGGCAGGAAGTCAGCGGGACAGAGAGGACAGGGCGGGCCAGAAAAGAGGGCCGGGCCGATGGTGACCCGGCTCCACTGGGAGGAGAGAACCTAGGAGCGGTCTCAGGCGGAAAGGCTGGGCCAGGAGCCGGCAAAGCAGCGGCAGCTCCAAGCCAGGCAGGACACTGCCCTGCCCCACTGAGCACAGGGTGGTGAAGGACGCCCATGGGGAAGAGGCAAGGACAGGCCGTCCAGCAGTGTGACGCTGGTCACCTGCCAGGGTGGGCCCAGGCTGGTGTGCTAGCACTCCCTGGGCCCCCCACTTTGCAGGAGAGCACTGTGGCGTGGCCAAGGGGAAGCCGCGCAGGCTCTGCCGTCTGCACTGGGATCCCAGCAGGATCTACACGCAGGGAGAGCACAGGGGACTGGCATAGGGAGGTATGCGTGCCAGGCGAGGCACGGGTGAAGCGAGGAGACTGTGACGGACACTCCAACACGGGACAGGGTGTGTCGAAGAGGGGCATGCGGACACCTCCTGTGGGGGCCCGGGCCCCGGAGCAGATGCCATGCCCTGCTGACCCACCTGGCAGAGGCAGCGGAGGCTGGACAGAGTAGGCGTGCTGGGAGAAAGGTTTCACACTGCGGGATAGGAGAGAGGGGTCAGCCTTGGGCAGGCCCAGTGTCCTCATGCAGGCCCCAGTGGCTCCCCCCCCC